CGCCGCCGCCGCCCTACAGCGAGGCGATGGGGACCCCGGGGCGCGCGCTGGGCCAGGACCGCAGGCCCGGGGGCCCCGCCTGACCGGCCGGGCTCCGCCTCCTTCCAGGTCCGACCCGCGTGGACAGGGACGCGGCGTCCCTGAAGTAACCTCCGGAGGGCGGCGGTGCCCCGAGTGGGACTGGTGTGTGGTCCAGACTGCAACTGTTCGGGTCTGCGCGCCGCCAGTGCATGCGAGGCGCCCGCTTCGTGGGGACTGTAGGCCCGGCCAAGATCGCTGTACTGCCTTTCTGGGTACCCTTCTCTGGAACAAGTGGAACCACAAGTGCTCCCTGCGCAGAACTTGCATCAGACCAAGCACATCGCTGGGCCTTGGGGCGGGAGACAGCACCCCCAGCCCAGCGTCACCCTGCCGGTCCCGGGTACAGGTCACTACCAGTGTGCCTGCGCCCTCGGCGCCTCCTGGCTCAGGCAGTGTATTTTCTCCCTAAGTTTAACTCCTTTCCCTGTAGCTTGGATTCTGCTCTGATACACATACAGGCAGTCGCTATTGAGATGCAGGTGTTTCCGTTGGGCCCGGCTGAAGCCTGTGCCTAGGATCCTGGCTGATGGGCAGGCCCAGAGGCCCCAGGCTGGTGCAGGTGGGGGTGGGGATGGGGGTGGGGGTGGGGGCAGGCCTGGCCCTTCCTAGTGTCTCACAGCACCACCGTGTGGACAACTCCATGGTTCACTTGCTCTAGGGCGATATGCTAAGAAGGGGAGGGAGCAGGGGGCCAGCTGCAGCTGGGTGGGCAACCTGGCCAGCATGGGACAGAGAGTGGCGCACAATACAGGTGCAACTGGAGCACAAATGAACTATCCTCTTGTTTTAATACTCGGAGTGTTCCAAACATTCATTGCTCATTAACTGCAGTGAAAATAACCTCAGCAAATGTGAGTGCTGCTTTGAGGAGCAGCAAGCCTGGTGGAGCCTGCACAGGGGTTGGCAGGACCCCTCTGGCCCCCACATGGACCTGAGACCAGGGTGGTGACTCGGCAACATGGTCTGTGCAGCGCCCCCCGGTCATTAGCTGTGGCCATCCATTCATCTCTCTGTGTTCCTGGAGGCAGCTTTTCTGGGCTGGCAGGACCTTGGGTCCTGTCTGACCCCACTTCTGTCCCCATGTGTATCCTGGTAGTAGGCTGTGGGGATGGAATGGCAATAAGATTCCTAAACAGGTTAGCATCAGCAGTCAGAGAAGACTGGCTAGGAAGGAGGACGGAGTGGGGATGTGTGCGGGACCATTGCTGGTGTGGCAATGGTGAGATTCTGCTTAGGGCTGTGGTGAGAGCCACGAGGGAAACAGCCTCAGAATGGTATTGTGGGCAGAGCCCTGTCTCTGAGCAGAGGTAAACTTTACCCCCCTGGCGCTGGTGGGTCTCCCGCCCCCAGGGGCACCCTGGTGGGGAGTGACTGGGAGATGGTCAGTGTCCTGGTACACAGGGGAGGTCACCACTCCATGTCCTGCCTGAGGATGGGGGGACAGGGGAGCTGCTCTCACTATCATGTCTGCACCAGGCTCCTACTGAGAATGGTGGGTGGCACCTAGAGCTCTCTCTGACTTTGCTGTCCACACTTTTTAGGTGCCCAGAGGCTTGGAAGCAGTCATTTTGTTCAGTAGAAGTCCCTCCCCATGCAGATACCCTATGCACTGCCTCCTAGGTCACTAGCTCTCTGAAGGTACTGGAAAGGTCTCTGAGGCTGGGCCTCTATAAGGCAGTAGCTGGTCTATAGTCACCTTCCCTTTGGTGGTACTTCTGCATGTGGCCCAGCCTGGTCCCCTCTCTTCTAGTGTTGGAAGAGTTGTATAGAGCAGAGGTGTAGGCAGTATGCCAGTCAGGATTACTCCATGGAGCAGATGTATGAAGGGCTTGGTCACTGAGACAATGGTGGTGTGGACTGACACACTTGATCTGAGTGTGCAAGGCTGTGACCCAGAAGTACACAGTGCCCCATAGGTGGGAAGGTTTTCCCAAGCAGGAGGCCAGTTCAGTGATGAGACTCTGAGATGGATTGCACACCTAGAAAGTAGATCTGTTTTCTGTCCTGTCACATAAGGTGCGCCCCACCTTCTGTGCTGTGCAGGAAATACAGTGGGAAGGGGCAGCCTGCTCTCATCACCTTTTTTGTTCTGCTGTAAGTGATTGGAGCTATGACAGGCGCTGAGCCAGCGCCCTGCCAGCCCACACTGACCTGAAGGCCATGTCCTCTGCCTTCTCAGGAGAAACTCCACTGCAGGCAAGCTGCTGGCCTAGGAGAAGCATCCCCTCAAGGTATGAGGGCCAGTCTGATGTGTCCCCTGGTCACGTATTAGGAGCTTGGCTGCTTGCCTATGGCACAGGAGGGCTCCCAGCAGCTTGGCGGCTGCCTCCCTCACCTGAAGCTGTTTGCTCCTGGCCAGTGCTGTGGCCCAGGGGATTGTGTCTTCTTGCCCTGTTCCTTGGTGTGCGCTCCGTTCTGTGTGCAGGATCAACACCACTGAGAGCTGTAACTGTCCTGACCTCACAGGTGTCCCCCCAGCTCCAAGCTGCACAGAAACAGAGTCCCACTGCTGTCCCTTCCCCCTCCCCAGTGTGCCTCACTGACGATGGTGCTTCTCCAGGGTCTGTCCTCTCTCATGCATCAGGTGCTGTATATATGTGGGATATATTATGCACATATCCTACCCAATGGGTAGAACAAAGCATTGTTGATACTGTAATATGATGTATAATGACAGCAATTTTAACAGAAATGGCATAGAATCTGTGAATGCCTACGTGCAGCTTTGTCCTCTTTTGTAAGGAAATTTGCAAATGAATGCATATAAAGTCTATGTAGTTTATTTTCCTATTAAATATCAATATTATAACACAAGAGAGAAAAAAGCAAGCAAGTTTATGACCAGCATCTAGGCAGCAACTGAGAGTTGCTTCTTTGCTGTAAAAACTTAAGAATCTCACGGCTCTCTGGTGGCCATTAGATGGCCCTTACTTTCCTCGTTTTAGAAATTTCCAGTTGGACAGTTACATTTTAGTCAGCAGAGAGGGCTGATTCCAGCTTTTGTCTTGCTGTAGCACAATAAAGGGCCCAGCAAGAGGCGCGAGTTCCTGTTGTTCAAACAGCGAAGCAGGAGACTCTGCAGCCAGTGACCACCAGGGCCGTGGCACTGGAACTGGTCAAGCACTGCAGGGCTGCACATCGTCCCTCTGGACATCCTGCCACCCTTCGGAGCTGAAACCTGCTCAGTACTGCCGGGGTGCGAGAGCACGTAGTGTGACCCTCCCTCCCCTCCAGCTCAGCTGACTGATTGGGACCTCTGTACTTTTCCTCAGATGTTCTACTACTTCCCATACAGCAGAAGGCAGCACCGCGACACTGTGTCTGTCCAAACCACTGCTGAGACCTAGATGTGGGCACTTAGCACTGTTCACAAGGTAGTTGTGGATTCTGCCATCCATCTCACACTTCGGTGTTCTTCTGTCGCCACACAGTGTTCTAATAAAGCCCATTTTTATTTTGGTATGTATACATTCTGATCTTGAGAATCAATAGCCTCCAGAAAATGAGTTATCACAGATTGTTCTGACCTAGAAATGCCTGATCCAGCCTTCCCCTGCTGCTGCCAGAAGGGTGGAGTCCCTGGCAGAATTCACTGGGCACGGGCTGTGTCCTCACTGCCCGTCGACTCCTGTGCTGGTCCCTTCTGACACACCATTGATAGATCACTAGTTTGCACCTCATGACTTTCAAGTCATGGTTTTCTAACTGCATACTTGCCAAGTTAAAGCTGTTTTAAAATACATACAGTACTATCTACAATATTTAGTTTGTTTAATTTTTATTATAAAGCAATCCACTGAAAGTATGACTGTATTTAAACTTTTTAGTCTTTGTGAGCTAAAGTCATTAAAGTTCTATAAAACAAACCAACAATCTGTGCTTACTTTTCAGCATAATTCCCAACTATCAGCAGTGGTGATGTGGGCGTTTGACCTCGTGTCTGTAATTGTAATCTTTTACAGAAAGGTGTTGCACCAAGTGCTATTTATTGTAAAATTAGGTTTTTCTGCTTGCTCTTAAAGCTGTGGTCAAACCATTGCACACAAATCATTAAAAAAAATTAGTGACATACCTTTGTCCCTTGGCTTTATTTTCAGCCACAATACACATGGAACAACTGATGTGTCTAAGGTCTGTTTTGGGGAACCAGCAGTGAGCCACACCAGCTCAGAGCAACCTTTGTGTTGGACCCTGGTCGATGTTCCACCAGCTCTGAGTCACTCTGACCACCTAAGAGTCACTGCTTCCTGGTCTGCTATCAGCAGCCCTGGTTAGATCATGTCACAGAGTCCTCTTCACCACCGTTTTCAGAGGGCTGGCCAGGAAGAGGTCTCAGCCATGAGGATATTGGGTGGCAACTCCCGGGTGCACTGAGGTGCCTGCCTGATTCCCACATTACAGTGAGGAGATAGGCAAGTGGATTCTGGCTGGCCACATACCCTGGCAGGGGTCTCCATCTTCTCTGCCCAGTATGGCCTGATTTGCATTCCCTGTCCCTTCAGGCAAAGGGCCAGTTCAGTTGCTCCCAAACAAAGTAGGATGAGATAGGGGGGAAGGAGTGGTCAGGCTCAGTGGTGCTCTGCCATACCTATAAGCCATACTTGTAGCACAGGACACCAGCTCATGGCCGCCAGGACCCTTGGGGGTTGCTCATCCTAGACTGAGGACTGAGCAGCCACTGAAGGCTCAAGAAGAGGCCATAAAGTGGAAAAGCTGAGAACACACCTGAAGGGACCTAGCTGGGCTGCAGGTTGCAGCTTCATCTGGCGGGAGCAGGGGGTTAGGCTGGCCGGCCTGGTGCCTACCCCTCACACTCCTTCCTCAGCTCAGCTCTGCCACTGGAGCCCCTCAGGCTGGTGACAGCCTCCAGAACTGTGTAATGCCTCCAGGGTGGGTGTTAGGTAAAGCAGGGTACTGTTCCAACCCTGTGGTGATGCCTGTACATCAGGGTTTATGAACCTGTTACTTGGAACATCATACACGCACTTTACTCTGTTGGAATCTGTTGCATTTAAATGGACTCAATTAAAATGTACATTTTACTGCAGCAGTAACTGAGATCTCATCC